CTGGCCGGCCCGCTCCTGCCCGCCGAGCCGCCCGCATCCCCCAAACCTGCCGCCGTGCTGGCTGCAGGCCCGGAGCTCTGGGAGACGGTCGCCTCGGCTTTGGGAGCCCGGCGGGTGGCCAGGAGAGGACGGGTGATGCCGGATGGGATGCGGACCCCCCGTGTCACCCTGCTGCTGGGCCAGCACGGCTGGGTGGAGCACCTGGACAACGGGATCAGGTGGGCAGGAGCTGCAGGATGCGGCTGCTGTGGGGAAGGGACTGCCCTCACCCGTGTGGGCTCTTCCAGGTACACCTTTGACGTGACCAAGTGCATGTTCTCCCCGGGGAACATCACGGAGAAGCTGCGTGTGGCCTCACTGCCCTGCTCCGGGGAGGTCCTGGTGGATCTTTATGCAGGTAAGGGGGATGGAGAAGGGGCGGGGCAGGTGCTGATGGTAGACATCAAATGTCAGCTTGGAATGAATACTCAGGAGGATGGCCAAAGACTGGAAGTAAAATAAGGTCCTCTAAGCATTTTTCAAGGCAGATTTTACTTTTGCAGAAGAGGGAAGGATAAATTTCCATTTTTCCAGTGTTTGGGTTTTTCCCGACCCAGAGCAGACTTGGAAAGCCAGGGTGGCAGTGTGCATCCTGCCCTCAGGAGTGTGGATCTCTGGAGCTCCCTGCCCTCAGCCGCTGCCACCTCCTGCCTGCAGGCATCGGCTATTTCACGCTGCCCTTCCTGGTGCACGCGGGAGCTGCCTTTGTCCACGCCTGTGAGTGGAACAGCCACGCCGTGGAGGCCCTGCACAGGAGCCTGGTGCTGAACGGGGTGCGGGATCGCTGCCACATCCACGCCGGGGACAGCCGGCAGGTGAGCGCTGCCGCCTGGCTGCGGAACCCCTCTCCTCTGGCATGCCCTCACCTCCTCTCTCCTCCCAGCTGCAGCTGCGGGATGTGGCAGACAGGGTGAACCTGGGGCTGATTCCCAGCTCGGAGGAAGGCTGGCCGGTGGCCTGCCGCGTCCTGAAGAAGGACACGGGTGGGGTTCTCCACATCCACCACAACGTGGAGACTCGCCGTGCGCCGGCCCCGCCGCAGCCCGCGGTGCTGCTGGCCGAGCACAGCTCTCCAGAGACAGCCAGCTCTGGGGGAGAGGCACAGCAGCCAGCAGAGGACGGTGGGGAGGAGACACTGGGGGCCAGGCTCAGAGCCGAGTGGCAGAGGTGGGCCGAAGCCACGGCCACACGGATCCAGGGGCTGCTGGCAGAGCTGCACGGGCGGCCGTGGTGCACCAGTGTCCTGCACGTGGAGCCGGTGAAGTCCTACGCTCCACACGTGCATCACCTCGTGCTGGACCTCGAGTGCCGGCCAGTGCTGCCCGATTAGCAGGGCATGGACATTCCAGCTCCCGTGGAAGGGTGGTGTCAAGCAGCAGGGGCAGGGAGATGCTACCAGCAGTGTCCTGCTGCCAGCCCAGATGTGCCTTATGTCCCCTGGTTCTGCAGTGGCAGCACTGCCTGGCAGTGCCTCCCCATGCCCAGGGCACCCAGGGTTGTGCTCCCATGGCAGATCCCTGCAGGATCCAGACAAGGATGGAGGAAGTTGGTGCTCAGAGTGCCAGTGTTCTGCCCTGGCTCTGCCAGTCACTGCCCAGGTCTTGGACATGTGGTAGCACCTTGAGCCCCGTTTTCACACAGGAGAGAGCCACAGTGCTGAGAAGCCTTGGGTTCCTGCTGAGTTCATTTCAGCAGGTCAGGGACAAGCATTGTGCTTGTGTTTCCCAGCATGCTTTTTTAATGTACTGTAAACAATTCTGTTCATCTCACTTTCTTCCTAGCTCTTTTTCAGAAATAAAGATCTTTCTCACCACCTCTTGCTGGTGTCCAATTAAAATGTGAACACTGGTGCGAGTGTGGGGTCTGGCCTGGGGACTTTGGGCCCTAGGGTGGTGTGTGGAGGAGCTCGGGGAGCAAAGCCTCTGTGGCATTGTCTGCCTGCAAGCCCAAAGCCCTCTACATATTTATTGTGTACTCCCCTGCCCCGTGAGGAAGCTCCCGCTGGCCCTTTGATGTCTGTGTGGTTTTTTCCACTGTGTCAGCGTCCCATCGCTTCCCACAGGGCTGGGAGCCTGTGGCTCTCCCGTCCCTGGGGTGCGGCCGAAAGTGTGGGCAGAGCCGCGTGCTCTCGTTTGCCTTGGGGCTGCACCCAGGTGTCCTGCGTGGCGAGAAACACCCAGGTGTCCTCTTCGTTCCACGGGTGGAGCCCCTCGCCTCGTCCTGCCGCGTGTGCTCGGGGCTCCCTGTGCTGCGGGGGGCGAGCCGCCCGGCGGGGACGGTATCTCTGCTGCGAAGGCCAAGGGCAGCGGCTGGAGCCCGGCGGCGGGAGGACACCACGGCCCTGGGGATGCGGGGGGTCCCCCGCGGGTCGGCTGTCGGTGCGCTCCGTGCTCTTCGGGAGAAGCTGCCCGCCCGTCAGGGCCGTGTGGCACCGGGCC